AGTGTAGGACTTGAACAATTTACAAAGTGAAAGTGTGCATTTGAAATGGTCAGGGTTTAGATCAGGGGTGGGCAAAATGCGGTCTGGGGGCCAGATGCGGCCCGTGAAGCCATTCTATCCGGCCTGCGGGGCCCCTAAAAAATTTAGAAAATTAATATTTATCTGCCCTGGGCTGCCTGTCATGCGGCCCTTGATGGCTTGCCAAAACTCAATAAGCAGCCCTCTGCCCAAAATAATTGCCCATCCCTGGCGATCATCTTTCTCCTCAGTGCTAAAAAGATAAATCTTAGGAGTTGGAAGTTAAATCTGTTTGTGTGTTCAAATCCTGTGGGTAACTTTGAAAATTGCCAATATAGTGCGTTTCATAATGCATACAGTATACTTGGAAGTACTTGGTTTTATCTTCTGGATGTTAGGACAAGGTATATCTGTATATATATCTAGAGCTTTGTATCTAGTGGTTTTACTTTTTTTGCTTTCCTCAGCAAAAGCTTAGATTTTAGGAAGGGTCCACACAAAACAGTTCATACTAAGGTAACTGTTAGCATGTGTTGCATATAGATAGCATAATCCCTACAGGAGAGAAGAGCAAAGCTATGCTGTTCTTCAGTAATGCAAGTTTTTTAATACAGATGTCAGAGTAGGGCCCCACCATCAACACTAAACCATTTTTTAACTAAAATATGTTGACCAGTGCAAGAGCTGGTGACCAAGAGTCGTTCATAAGCTGGGCCTTAAAACTAGTAACATCTGTCTGGCAGAGAAAAGAAGAATCTCAATACTCAGGGTAACATATCTAGTTTCTCAAGGCTGTAGAGCATACACAAGATTTTTAGGGCTCGGTTTATGAGGTTGACCAGCCAGGTAGAACAGGGGTTGGCAACATTTTTGACCGGAATGCCAAAAACACCTAAACCCTGACCCATGCTCGGTGTGCCAGAGACAGACGGCAAAGGAGTTGCAAGGAGCCTGATCCTTGTTGCTGGTGGTAGCTGCACATGTGCCTCCAGGTGGATGGTGGTAGAGGGGCTGGGGTTGCATTGCCCCAGCCCTTTTCTCACCCTGCAGCCTGGGCCAGCTGTGGCAGGTAGGCTGCAAACAGTTGCACTGGGCTCCACAGTGCTGGCAATGGCTCTGTGGTGGCATCAGGTTCATGTGTGCCTCCAGGCGATGGCAGGGAGGGGCCTGGGGCAGTGCCTCTCCCCTGCCATCTACCTGTAGGCGCATGTACAGCTGCACCACTGCCAAGCTCGGTCAAGGGCTCCAGAGCCCAATGTAGCCATCTGCAGCCTCCCGGCTGCCTGCCACAGCTGGCCCAGGCTCTGGGCAGCTGGAGCAGGTGGCCAGCAGGTTACAAACAGCTACACTGGGCTCAGAAGCACTGGCACCAGTTCTGTGGCTGCATGTGTGCCTCTGGGCAGATGGCAGGGGAGGGGCCTGGGGCAGCTAACCTCAGCCCCTCCCCCATCATCCACCCAGAGGTGTGCATGGAGCTGCGGCTGCCATGGAGTTCGGCTGCTGCTGGCCCAGGCTCTGGGCAACTGCTGCCAGCTCTTGAAGCTGGGTTGCTTGCAGCAGGGCTTGCAGCCTCCCAGCCTCCTGCTGCAAGAGCTCAGGCTCCGTGGCTGGTGGCAGCTGCTCGGAACCCAGGCCGGCTGTGGTGTGCCAAGTAAACTGACCTTGCATGACATGCTCTGGCATGCATGGTGGGGGTTGCCAACCCCTGATCTAGAGCAAAAGAAAAGCAGCGCTGACGTTTTTTCAAGAGGTCATTCATGCTCCACCTTGTTCTAGTCATTGCTTTCATAGCTTTTATTGTACAAATGTTGTCAGGTAGACTACACCAATAGACTAGTCTCTAAAAGGAATCTGCTGTGTGCTTTTCAATCTGTGTTTTAAAGTGATGATTTTTTTAATAACTTGGAAGGAAGCACAGCATATCTTCTCTACAGCTTCGTCAAAATCCTGACTTTTCTTTCCCCCCTAGAGAGAACCTACTGGAAAAATGTCATAAATTTCATAGATGCTAGGGCTGGAAAATGAATTCTTATTTTTCTACTTCAAGCTGCATGGCAAAATAATTTTGTTTTGGCCCTTGAATAATCTTTTGTGAACTTCTTGTATTTGTGAAGACTTAATTTAGCACAACTACCATCTGGCAAAGACCTTGGAACCATTAAGATTGTCCTCTATAAGAATTAGGTTAGAAACTGTTGTGTGCTGCTTATTTTTTCTCTTAATGTTTTATCTTCTTACAAAGTGCTTTTCATTATAACAAGGAAAAACAGGCCAAAGCTAAATACATTTCTGAATAATGGCATCTTTTATGTAGCCTTTGATCTGCTGTTGAAATAGCCAAGTCCTGCTATATCTAAAACTGCCCTGTAAGAAAGATAGGATGTGAACCTTTTTCTTGCATCTTATCTAATGTAAGTGTTTTAAAAGCCTCAAAGGTAGGATTTGTATATACCTCTATTACTGTTTTTTAATACTACAGGTTCAGGATTGGGCTCTATAACGAAACTACAGAATATGTGGTCCTGTGCCCAAGAAATTCACCTTTTAGAGAGATTTAAAAAAAAAAAAAAGAGGTGTGGTAAAAACTATAATGTGTCAGTGATTAGGGTGTCCAGTATGTATTGTTAGTTTTGTTTTATTTCAACATTTTCCAAGCAGTTCCTAGTCAACAGTAAATAATCATTTGTAGCTGAGACTAATAACTCTGACTGGAGAAGGGTAGTCATAGTCTTTTCCCTATCCTTTGTATTTAAATTACTTTAATGCTTTTAGTTTAGTACCCCTGCCCTGTGCAAGTCTGTTCATAGCATCTGACAAAGTAGACCAGGGTTGCTCAACTTCTTGTCTATTGGCCAGATCTGGCCTGCAGAGCCATGTCATTTCAGCCCACAGGTCTCCCCAGAGGCTGTACATTTGGTGGTGGGGGAGTGGTGCCTGTTACCACTGTCACTGCTCCCCTGCCATATTTCCATACCCTACAGGCCTGGTGACATGGCCCTGAGCACAGGCACCAGGGCCACAGGTACAATCTGGCACACAAGGCTGTCAGGGCTGGGGCCTGATCTGCTATGCAGGACTGGGATCACATGCCAGACCAACCCTGTTTGCTGAATCAGGACACATGCCAGGTCAGGCCCACAGATCAGATCTGGCCCACAGACCAACTCCACCCCACTTACCTGGCCTGTGGGACCAAAAGGCTGGGCACCACTGAAATAGGCTATAGTCTACAAAAACTAAGGCCTTCTTGAATGAGGTGCGACCCTGTCTGCCTTCATTTCTGACTAGTGAAGTATTAATTTTTAGCTATTACTACTTTGTAGCCTGTATCCAAGGAAATAAATTCAACAATACATTGAATTGACTTTTTTGAAAATGGGAGTCTTTCAAAGATGATGTATTTCTCTCATCTACAGTAAACTCAAATGCAGTATGCAAAATGCTGTCATACAATAGATGTTTCAAAATCCAAAATTTAAGAGCTGTTCATTTCTGGTGCACATCGGATAATTTATTCAAATGGCGTAAAAACAAATCCTGCAGTACAGATAAATTATTGTTATACATACAGTACTGATGATTGGAAGTTAGCATTGATCTTAGATTCATTTTAATAGGATTTCTGCCTTCAAACATTACTATGGCACAAATTTCATATGTAAGGAACTTTCTAGAAAAGCATACATCTTTATATATAAATAAAATTTACATTAAATGCTTATTGTAAAATCATATATGCATGTGGTGCTTCATAGAGAACAAAAATAACATACATGAAATGTAAATCTTTATGTATTTAGAGATTTATTTTCCTTCATTATTCTCTTTGTATCTACTCGTTCATTTGGAAAGAGATTTTAACTATAATATGAAACTATCTCAATTTTACTTTTTAAATATGATCATGCAATTAACAAATTAAAGGCAAT